TATAGACGGAGAAATACTTGAATATATCGAAAACCTACTAAAACAATAATAACAATCTGGAACAATTAGTTGAATTATCCTCACTACCATTAATAAACACAACTCTTTTGTGGATGAACCACTTTGCTGTAACAGACATAGCATATGACAGAACATCAATACACTTTATACTTTTGTTAAAAGACACAATATTAGTAATCGGAGTGTACTATATAGTGAATAAAATATCAGACCTAATAATCAAATACGCATCAATAAAACAACAGGAAAATCTCCTTAAGATAGAATTTAATGACTACAGAGAGTAATAGCCAATATAATAGAACAACCCAAGCATTAAAAGAATATCTCGAAGATTTACAAGGAATAATTCAATTAGATCTTTTAATAGATTTAACGCATCAACAAACAATCAAACAAATTCAGAGTTTAAATAACAAATATTCTTGTACACAATTAAAAGAAGGAATCAATAAAATTTACTGTTTATTATCAATACTAGACAAAATTAATAGAGTAACATTCTTAGTAACAAGAACGATTAGTCTAGAACAGACATTTAACCAATATCGACCAATACCCGAAGAACAGAGAGAAGCTGAAGAAGAAATATATTTAGAAGAATTAAAAGAATTAAAAGAAAATTTAGAAAACCTAACTGACTACAAATTAGAACAAAAACTTGAACTTCTACAAGATAAAAATATTGAAAATATTAACAGCTTTATAATCATACATAAAGAAAACAGAACTAAGAACATAGAAGAAATTGACAGAAAAATAAAGAGATTCGAGAAATACATGAACAAAAGAAAAGAGTATTTAAAAGAACTTAATGAGCAATAATAGAAATATATACCAAAGAATAGAAAGAATAATACAACAAAGAAAATTTAAATTCATTTGGAACATCTCACATAGGAAATCAAAATTTAACCTGACAAAAGAAATACTTGAACAAAGAACAAAAGAACAGATAGTAGAAGATATAATTGAAACAGTTGAAAGACTTCAGAAAAGAATCCAACCAATGAACAATAACTGAATAGGGATAATCTTAGTTTTATTACAAACTGTAAAACAATTGTCACTATCTATACACGAGACCGAAGGAATTATATTTAATTACAAATCGTCTACAATACAAAACAATATATAAATAAACTAAATATTGTACAATCCCAACTAGGAGTAATACTCGATGAAATAGAAGAAAAAATATGAGATTCTCTAGCCCAAAGAGAAGTTTATTTAATACCAGACGAATTAAAAATAGTGACAACCCATATTCTCAATACTGTAAGAAATCTCTACTCTTTAGAAAGAGCAACCTACTTTTTTGATTACAATAAGGAAATACAAGCCTGATTATCAGAAAAAGAAGCAAAACAGTTCCTAAAGAACGAAAAAGCAAAAGAATTAATTAAGAAAAGAACTGAAGAGTTGCTTCAAGAATTACAACAATTAAATGACCAAATTTAAGAAAATAAATATAGAAAAATACTTCGACCTTTATCATAAACTGACAAAAAGAGAGAATCCTAGATACGAATTAACCATAGAAGAAACAAGAGAATATTTTAAAGAAATATTTAAAGATATTGAAGAAGAATATTACGAAGAAATTTTATGACTAGAAGTAAACAGAATAGCCAACTCTATAACCTCTTTATTCCCAGAAGAAAAGAAACAGACTTTGTCTACTTTCTAGTAAAAATGCTCAGAGAAATAGACTAAGACATTAACCAATTCGTCTCTGACATCAAAGATGTAAACTATTCTCAGTAGCCTTTTGTATACACTGAAGAACAAAATAGAGAACACCGAAGAACAGTCTACCAAAGTGAACTTGAAAATCAAATACATGCTATATACATAACAGCAGTAGGATTCTATGTAGAATTAAAATTTGATAAAAAAGACATTTGAAGAAATAAAAGAAGAATATAAAAGATTCTGGAAAACTAAATGACTCATTGGAAACACTTAAATCCAGAACTAATATTCGAAGAATACTATTGTTTCAATACAAAACCATATAAGCTAGGACAACTAGTGAAACCTAAAGAATTAACAACCAATCAATCCTTAGAATTATTTGGAATACTAATAAATGATCTAGAATTAGAACTCGAAGAAGTAGCCCTTAGGAGTGCAGTCTTAGAACAAAAAATCTTAACAATATACAACTGCTATTATAACGACGACTACCTTTGAATAGCGACAAAAATAAAAGATATCCATAAAACAATTGAGTGGCAATATAATCTAGACTCAAGTGCATGTGTCAGAAAAACCTTTGAAGAGTTCAAAAGACAGTGTAGACAAGAAAGCTATAAATGATACTTTGAAGAAATCTATAAGAAAAGAACAGGAATAAGTATAAGCAGAGAATACTAGAAATCCGGAGGACAAACCTGAGAAAACTTTAGAAATTATCATGCAATGATTTGGGAACAAGACTGTAATCAGTGGAGAACTGTTGAACCCAGAATCAAACCAATGCGAGGGAAGATTGAACCAGAAGGACTAGCTACAAAATGACTTAATGATCTACTCAAATCCAGAATTATTAGCATACCTCAATAAACAAGTATTCCTACATGACCCATACCAACTACCAAATAGAATAATGTCTCAAGCAATAGGATTTACAATGATAAAAGAAGAAGCGTACATTTTATTAGCCAAATGAATCAACCCAAATAAAAGCTTTTACTGAACATTCAATGGAATAGGAGGAAAAGAAAAATTAGACCAAAATGGAATGCCAAAAAAAATCATAGAAGTAACAGCCTTAAGAGAAATATTTGAAGAATCTGAATTAGTAATAAAAAATAGTAATTTAATAAAAATTCAAGAAAACTCTTACTACTCTACAGAAGAATGGATAGCAACAGGATGTAATCCTGAAGAAGCAAAATATTTCATAACATTGGGACTATTTATTTTTTGACTAAATTATGAAGAAATCCCCAAGAATACTGAACCAAACACCCTAGGACCGTGGAAGTTATACTCTTTAAAACAAATAGAAGAACAACAAATACCCCTTGTACCAATAGTACTACAGAACCTGTGGTACATATTTAAAAGAATTGAAGATTATCTGACGCTAGAATATATAAATAAAATAAAAATGGCGCATCAGTATAGAATAATAAATCTGAAGAAAACATTTATTAAGCTATTTGAAGAAATAGACTCTGAATCAGATGAAGAGAATTTAACACCGCTAACTATGGAAGAATTTGAAAATATTATGGTTAACAAAGAAGAAATAACCTCAAAACAAATTAAAAAAGGACGACTATTCAAAACTTTAATCCAAAAACAAATAGCACCACTAAAACGAATAGAAAAACAACTTATGAATTTTGACCATCTCTATATGAGATACAAATACCTAACAATTTTCGACAAAAGTGACAGAGCTAAAGTAGCAACAGTATTAGAAAAGTATCCCAAAGTAATTAACCTATCAAAACTACCAGACAATATTTTGGAAAAACTTAAAAAGCAATATTATTATTACAATCTAAAATATGATAACAACGAACAAGCATACCAGATAAAAATACAACAAACAAATGAATTCTGTGTTATACTCATAACAATTAGATTTTTGATGATTGAATATAAAGACCTCACCCTTATCTAGAAATAACTAGTAATACAAATCTGGCCACCTAATACTTAACCTTAGCCTATTTCATTTATGTTCATAGCTCTTACTAGAATATTGTTTACCACTAAACAGTCTTTAACTTTGAATTGATATGTTATAATAATAAAATAAGATTAATCAATTTTTGCATAGTACCTATTACAGAATTTAGGCGGTGTCTATAATTTGCTGGGGTCCTGCATATACTAATTAATCAAATCTATGTTAGGTGTTGTAGTAAAATTAAATAATACAGATTTTATGCATATCAGCAAAATCAATAGATTACTAACAAAATATTAGTATTTAAAAATCGCTTCACCTCGCGTATTAACAATTTTTTTCAGTCGATTTTTGCAGAAAATGATTATTATAGTGCTGTAAAAAGAAGTTACAGTTTTGTATTTTTAATTAATTGAAGATTTTTTAATTTTTTTTAATTAATTGAAGGATTTAATCATTTTTCGCATATGCGATTTATTACTTGTGTAACATAAATGTTTGATCATTGTAACGCACAAATACGACAATTACTATGACGCATAATATGACTCACCTCTTTTTCCTATAATGCTTAATCTCCTGTAAATTAGATTTCGTTACTCTACTAATATAAGAGAGGTAAGTAAACTATATTTGCGTAATGAGTGAACAGACTAACTTAGAAAGCTATGAACCAGAAAGAATTGCATTGATCAATGGTGAAAGCGAAGGCGCAAGACTATATACTGGAAAAGTATTTAATAATTGGGCAGAATGTGACTCGTTTATAAGTGAGTGGGGAAAAAGTAAGGGGTTCAATATCGTTAAGGACCGTGTTCATAGAGAGGAAGGAATAATTAGAAGAAGAACTTACATTTGTCAACATGGACGAAGTTATGAATTGAACTCCAAAATAGAGACCAGTACCAAGAAAATATCATGCTAGTGGCATGTAAATACTTCCTGTCCTAAAATAAAGAACCCCAACTCAGCTGTTTTTGTTAATACAGTTGTAGATGACTACAACCATCTGCTTAATGTTGATGCTATTGTGTTTGAGAGTGATAAAAAATTTAGCGATGAGATGATGGAGGATATTCAATTCTTGACACAACATTGTAAAATGGGTGCAACTGCACAAAGAAAGTACTTAGAGGGCAAATATCCAACTCATGCAATATTCAACAAGAATTTGTATGCTGCAATTAGAAAGTTCTGACCTACAGCTAACTCTCTCTCAAATGATGCAGCTCAAATGTCGGATTGGTTAGATTTGCAAAAAGAAAAGGATTCCCGGTGGGTCGTAGCAAGAGGATAGGACGATGACAATGCACTTACCCATCTAATTTGGATGACACCAAAACAAGTGGAAAATTGGATCCAATTTAGTGACTGTGTGATTAATGATGTAACTCATAAGACCAATCGGTATGGAATGGCTGTCACTTTTTGTGGGTTTAATCGGAATAGGCAAAACATTTTGCTTGCACAAGGTCTGCTCGTGGATGAAAGTTTAGATTCTCATGCTTGGATGTTCGGGCAAATTATAAAAGCTA